GGAATATCTTCCGTAATAACAAGTAAGCAATTCATGTAAATGAATTAAAACTAAGTTAAGGAATATATTTACCTCTGTTATTTTGTTTATTTAATTGTAATACTCATTTGTATACTCTGATGAATCTGGAACTAATTTTTAAAAACGACTTATGTCATACTAGTTGGCCAGGTGATGTTCGCCACTTGAGCAGTTTTTTATACCATTGACAATTTTTACGTTCTCCAACTAAGAAGAGAAAGTTATGTAATGCTGCTCGAAAAAGCGTCGAATTTTCGGCAGAAAAACTCTTATTTCAGGGCCCTAGTAACTAAAAAGTGGATTAATTCAGATGCTAAATTTAGAAGAAAAAATCCTGCAACACATGATGTAGCCAGAATTTCTGTTTTGTGGGTCCTTGATAGCGTGCAGTTCTAGTGCCACTAGTTTTTATTAAAATGTTGGGTTTATTATGTGGTTTGAACAACCGTGGACAATAGATTTTTTTAAAAACAGAAACAAAGTGTCAAAAAATAAATAAATTGCTAAAAATATTAGTGTTTTATTCTGGTAAAAAACATTACAATTTAATAAAACAGAGCTAAATATGTCTATATTCAAACTTTTCTTCTTTTATTTCCAGTGGGTGCACAAGTGTTTGTATTAATTCTGCATTCAGATAATTGCCGGAAATAGTATTTGTACAATTCAAAAGAACTACTTTTCGAAAATACGGTGATCGTACTCTGCATGCACTTATTCAGTGCGGTGATTGCACTCCGCACAAACACTATTGTTTGGACACGTTTTACACGATTCATTTTATGGTCTTAGTTGTTATTGTTGCTACTAATGGGGTAAACGAACTACAATTATATAATATATTTAGAAAATTTTACTACCCTGGTGTATATTGCAATAATGGAAAAATGTCTTTTTTCATGAATGAAGTATATCTTGTATAAAATTCCTGTAAGTTTTTGGTGCAATTTATACATTATTACCTCAGGGTAAACCAGAACAGTCACGAATAAAACCCCTGCCTCACGTTATCAGCACGTAGTTCACGCCCAGTTCAAAATATCCTTCTAAAACTTATTTGTATAAGTGTACTTCACGGCCTTCAATATAGTTTTCAAGTATCCTGCATCTCATTTAATGGTAAATATTTCATAAGGAGAACATTTTTTGGCCGAAGGCAACACAATTTACAATATCCAATTTCTTAGCTTGGATGATAAGACATCGATCAATTCAGATTTTCTTGCCAGACAAATTAAAGCCATTTAAGGGTACGCTTGATGCAGAGATTCCAAATATGGCACTGGTTTTGGGTATTTTAGATTAGCTCTAGTTTTTGAGATAATGAAAATCGCATTGAAAATATATTATTTTATTGAGTACAGGCTATTCGTTTATTGTATAAAACTTGAACTAAACGAAATTAGATATGCATATTTATACAAACTCAAACACTGGAAATACGTAATATTAATTTATTCAATATATTTATATTTACAGCCCAAAATGAATCACAATCAATTGTTTCAAAAATATTGTATGATTTCCTTTTATGCGGGTGATAAGGACAATAATGTTGAAGGCTCCAGCAGTTGTTCGCCATAATGTGTCTATTGCATCTACCCTGATATCTAGCTTCTATTTCCTTTATTTCTTGAAGGAAATGCTCGCATTGTTCCTCACTCATCTTGCCAAGAATTCTGGAAAATTACATGGCTATGGAAATAGTATACCTTTATGTTCATAGTCGCACCCAAAGTTTGAAAGTGTAAATGCAAGTCTTGCACACGTTCTGCAAGATTTGCTGCTTTATGATTAACCAAAAAGTTCTTCACGACAATGACAAAGCTCTGCCAGGCACAAGATTCAGTATCAGACATGGATCTTACGAAATTTGGATCATTTATCAATTTCCGAATTCGGGATCCATCAAATACGTCAGTTTTTCGTAGTCAGGCCAGGTAAGAATCTGCTAATGTATTTTAAGCAATAGCCATCCTTGTTTAGAGCTCTCACTGATTTCCTCCCTAATCCCAACTTTAACGTGCAGAGAACGGAGCATATTTTCTTAAGCAACCAATGCGTTGTTCACGATATTTGCTACACCTTTTGTGATATTTTCCCTTAGCCGCTATGTCATTTTTCTCAGTGCTGCTCTATTGATCGACTATCCCAAAGCAGAGAAAACATGGGTACATTGTGAATCCACTTTGTTGTCCAAGCAAAAAGTTGACCATTTTGAAATCTACGACTACATATAGACCAATGTTTTGTAAGACAATTTCGATATTACCATATTCTTATTTCTTTTTGTTGAGTGACCAATTGGGATTGACGTAGAGCAGTTGCCATTGTGCAGTAAAACACTTTGAACTTAAGAGTGCAACTGTTTATGAAAAGCCGCCAAACTTCGGGTCAATATTCTGTAACACCCGTAGTAAGAAGTGGTTCAGGAATGTTAAAATAAGCTCAATCAATTGGGAGAATTGCTCGTTAGTAGCAACCCTTCCATCTTAAACCTGTTTTACATAGTCATTCTTTTATCATTTTTCCGTACAGAAAGTGGATGCGGAAAAAGGGACGTTCGTTTCTACGCCTTGTTTCGGTGCCGAAACTGGATGAAAGTCATTCCAGCGTTTTACATGATCATTTCTTTGTACGTATTCGTGATGAAAATATTTTCTCTGGACAGGCTTTATTCACTGTCACTGCTAACTCCTGAATCACACCCTCAGAATCAGTACATACTCACTATCGGACACAGGAATTCCAGGGAGCGTGGTGCTGGTATGGGAACATCAGGTCCATGTGGCACAGGTCGTCTTGCTGATACCAAATCAGGGTACTCCTACTTCCTTTTCTTCTAACAATTCAACCTTTTTGACGTGTACAGCACAAAAATAACAATGATTTTTGGACTCTCGCAATATCATCAGCACACCAAATTTTAAACTTCAGTTTCCCAGTTTTGCACAATCCACAGAAATGTTGCATACCATATGGAGGTGCCTACGGCTTATTTTAATCGCCCAGTTTTATACAAGATATACTTCATATGCTTTTTCTAAAAGTTTGTAATATTTCTTACATATTTTGTTAATTTATTTGTTTAGTATCGTCAAAAATTATGGTTCTCTTTGCTTTTGATCTCTCATATTTGTTCTAGTTGCACTTTCCGTGCCGACATCAGAATTATGTGAAAAATATGTATGAGTATTTAGATCTCCAGAGTGCTATTTTTTAAAATAAAACAGAATATTAATGAAAGGTCTCTGAGAAACAAGGGCTCACGTACAGTGAATCGACAAATATCTGAAGATGCTGTTTAGAGAAACTTTTCATACGTAAGAGGGATGTACTAGACTCTACTTACAGGTGCACCTATTCTGTTACTAATTCAAAATCACTAAATCATTAAATATTAGGAGTAAAATACTGTGTATGAAATGGAATGCGAAGGTTCTAGTCTGTCACTAGGGAACAAGAAATAAATTTGATCCACAAACTATTTGAAATTCTGAAGAAAACTAGTTAAGTGTTACTTTGTTATCTTGATGACAATTTATAAAAACCCCTAGAAAATCACAAATATTAGTTATTTTATGGATTACTTTTGAATTGTTTATGTCGTTTGCATGGCACGACGAATTAAAAGAAAAGCAATAACACTGTTCATATAACTTCAGAACTTACCTTTGACAGCGATCCTGTAGAAAAAATTCAAAAACACGTTTTACAGAATACTCTTCCAAATACAGTTGCATAACAGTAACGATATTTCCCTTTGGAGCAAGTGATGGTACTAGCAATAATGGTGCTAGCAGAGCACGAATGCTAATTTGTCAACATTCTCACTTAATATAGTTATATTAAACTTCAAAAGTAACATCTATTTAGTTGTATCAATAAAATATATTTATGTTTTAAGAAAAATGTCCTGCTTTCTATGGAACGGCCTTTATGCCTTTTTTCTTTCTCACTGTATTTTTCTTATATGAACATAAATATTTATACTTTCACCAGCAAAATTATCTTTTGAATATGCACAACAAATGTTGCATTGGTCCTTTTTGCGAAGATTTAAGTTACAATCTTCAAAAACAGACTTAAAATTGCCCGATGTAAAAATTGATACGTTAAAAGTACTAGTCAATACGCCAATTCTGCAATAATAACAGTATTGAATCTAAAATCTAAGAATCCAGACTTTAAGAGAGCGACCAAGACAAATGCAACACAAAACAAGACATTAACTGAGTGAATCCTTACTTGATCTCGGAACCAAGAAATATTTGTACACCCGAGAGTCTAACACTAAGTAAAATACAGCAGTGCGGAGGCAAGAACACTTACTGTTTCAGAACATTCACTAGCAAAATGTGACCCGAGAGCAAGATAAGCTAGGAAAAATAAAACGAGGACTCCACTGATTGCGCCACAAATTGTAAATTCAACAGGCTAAGGTGTAAGGGTATGAATATATATTTCACACAACTTTCTGCGCAATTCCGTAGCCCCGCGCACTGGAGGCTGCTCGCCGTTGCCCGTGTCCAGCCTCGGTCGTTCAAAGCCTCATATCACCACGAGGCGGGAAGACAACAACTCAATTTGTTCCAGAAATCTGCATTAAGGTCCGATCCACACACTTCGTTTTGACGACCGAATCTAGAGTTTAAGCGAAACCGCGTGTCGCTACTGAGGTTTTAAAAACCAATCTGCGCACGAGCGTCAAAACTCTGGAATCTTTCGTCAAAAACGTGTAAATCGGGTCTTGTCCCCTTGCCGGTCGAGCAAGTAACCTTCAGTTATGAAGATCGTTTGTTGTGATTTTGGGCAAGTGGGGAGTGAAAATGGAAGAAACCAGTGCGGTACGCTCCACGAATACACTCGTTCGCTTTCGGTGTGGCGACAGCCGGCGAGTTTACTCGACGCTTGTGCCCAAAGGGCATACAGCCGCGAGTATACTTCACACTATCAGCGAAAGGGTAAATAAAAACAACTCAATTTTAAACAATTTTTATTGATGCATTAAATGTAAAAAATGAATAACCATTATATTATATTCAAAATTACCTTACAATTGTTATAATGAATATACAGTACTGTACACGACTATACAACTAATATTAATATACACTTAATTAAAAGAACAGTTAAAACTAAAACTCGAATATTTGAGATTAATTCATGCACTTACAACTCTTCGTCAGAATCCTCCCAAAAGCTGCCATCTACTACATAAATCGCACGTGCCTTTTCATTGAATAAAAATGTAAGAAGTTCATGCAAAGTTTCTACATTTCTACAAGCAAGCTTCCCCGATGACTTTATTGTAACATCAGGATACTTAATTTCATAAATTCTGAATCCACTTAAATTGATGCCCAGCTTCTCTGAAATACTCCTTATTAAACCCCCGTACAGCCTTCTTGATTCTTCATAAAATATTGTATCGTTTGTTGAACGAATTCTGCAAAGAAAATTAACACGAGAAAATAGTATCAATTTACACGTTTATCAAAGAAACTTCTGTTGAATAAAAATAAAAATTACTTTAATATGAAAAAATGTTCTCCTTTGAAACAAGAGACAGTTTTGTTCTTTTGAAACAAAATTCAAAATGCCTATATTTGTTCAGAATGTCATTTATTTACTTTAACAGGAATTAAAAACGGAAAAGCATTAATCAATGAATCTATTATTACATTAATCAATGAATAATGCATTGATCAGTTATACATAGATAACACGTATTACATTATTATTCAGTGTCATCAAATCTGCATTGCAACTCCTACCCCATTTCAATATCAAGACATCCACATTCATTTTTATAAAACAGTTTATTATTTTCTCCAAAAAATTACTGAGATAATTTGGCGTTTCTTTCTTCACAATATCATAAATTGAAAATTGGATCCTTCCAACCCTAAATAACTATATAAACACTACTACAAAAAATTAAATCTACGTCCGTAATGTCCGGATATCACATGTTTAGCTCTCATTTTCTCCATTGATCGGTTCCATTTATCTACTTGTCTCACACGCTTCCTTGAATCAATAGTTTCATCCAAATTCTTATCAATTGTAGAATATTTAACACATCATAGTAGTAAAAATACTACTCGGAACGAGAGAAAAGCTACCTCAGCCGCCTTCGCGCCAAAACAATCGCTGTATTGATATGTATGCTTGTGGACTGATTGACGATTCCGGGCACGTCAACTGCTAAGGTTAATAGTTTCGTACGTGTAGGGTATTTTCCCTCGGAAGGTGGCGGTGATCTCCCGCTGGATGGAGAGTTCCTGCGCCCACCTCCTCGGCTAGCGAGGCTTTCCCCAACCAGGTACCTCCCACCAGCGAGGACAAGTTCTATACTTCGACTTTCATATAATGGCCGATAGGTCATTGTTACACCGCCTGCCTTATAAAATGAATGCCAATACGTGCGGAATTCTCTGCGTTGTAAATGTCACAGGTTTGGCCATACGCTGCATATCAGCCAAACCCGTATGTGGCGAGACGCCGCACGAGGAAGCTCCTAGCTTCCCTCACCCCATTACGTAAACTGGAAGACTAATTAGGACCCAATCTTAACCAATGAGCGGGAAATTAAGAAAATCAGGAAAAGTGATAAGGTTTCATTTCCGAAAGGAGATCCGAGACACAACACCCCCTGGATATGACTAGGACTTTTCCCACCGTGCTAATCAGCTCAAGAGAGTGAACAGCCAAACGCAGTTTGTCGCTCCTTCAATGGATAACGTCGAACGCCACAAATCATTTTAGCAAACGTTACCACAAACTGCTAGGGTCATAATACCGTCACAGATATAAGAAAGCCGTGAAAACATTTACTAACAACCATACCGACATTCTTAACCAAGTCTTCTCCCAAAGATTCTGTTGGCAGACGACCAATACTGCCAGGACCACTTGCCAAACATACCACAAAAATAAAGGCCCGAGCAACTCGCACTAAAGAGGGTCAACTACACTTGCCGTCAATCGATGTTTCGGGCTCCAGGGCACATAAAACGTGGACATCGATTCTAACTACACATCCAAGAGGAAGTACTAATTTACTTTAATTACAATACTTTCTCTTCTTTCGAAATAAGGGCGAGGAAAAAAGGAACCACCGTCAGGTAGTTTTGGAGCTTGCAAACTCCAATCCAATGTGGATTTAGAAAGCACCCATCAACCTGGACTTCTCAATCAAATTAGCAACACAGATATCCCCACACAGGTAAACATTACTAAGTTTTAAGATACGGTCCACCCTGCTTCTCGGCAATTTTTTGCCCAAAAGATTTTTCATATACCTCTGGGTGATAAGGTATCCAACAGTCACCCTGTTAATACATTTGTGCAGGTGTCAAAATCGATTATGGGAGCGCTAGGGTCAGGGAGTAGAGGGAAATGGCTGATTCTGTAAAGATGTTTACATCCTGACCGGATGTTGACATCCGATGTAAACTTCCAAGGTCGTCCTTGCGACGATACAAGGTCGTTGGTAACTCAGCAGTGGCCCTCCTCGGTGCTAATGGCCTGCTCCTAAATTCACCGCGTTCTCTGTTTCGATCAAAGTCCTTGGGTTGCTACCTATATAGACCCCAACATTTCACGGCGGCAGCGCGCGTCCTCCGATTTTTGAAGATATATTTTTAAACTCATGAATAACTCCGTGACGTCATATGGACGACCTAGTGACAATGTCTACAACGGATGTCAACATCCGGTATAGGTACGGTGGGCCAACGACCTTGGGTCGTCAGAAGAGCGACCTTGTGACGCGACAAGAGCGATCTTGTGACGCGACAAGAGCGACCTTGTGACGTCAGTATTTGCAACGGATGTTCACATCGGTCAGGATGTAAACAGCCAGTACAGAATCAGCCATCTCCCTCTACTTCAGGGTGAAGAAAAGTCAGAGAGCAGGACGCCGTCGCCCCCCCCCTCTCCTTAGCGGGGGATGGGTTGTTTACTGCGGGGAACTTAAGCGAGTGGCAGCGGCAATGTTTATACAGAGCGGCTGTCATTGTGGCATGGCGACAGGATGGACAGACTCAACCGTGGTGAAAAAGAACCCCTAAACTGCCTGCCCGCCACTGAGGTGAACTGGAAATCGCTGCGTGCTTTGAGGCGCTACTGAGAAATTACTGGAAGTCTCACTATGTTCTTAGTAACTGTTTTTACCCCACAACGAATGTGTTTACCTTTCCCATCAATGTTTTGGAAACTTAGAAGTTTAGCCTTTTCCTTAGTAATATGTTACTCAGAGATCAAAAAGTGCCACGGTATACCATCGTCAATAACTCCATCACTTTGCACGTGAAGCAAAACTATTTGTAGATGATTTTGTAATTTTCTGTTCTTCGGGAATCCTAAATCCACCGAAGGGCAGCTTCAACTTGTCTACCAATGAAGCGACAGATTTTAATTTACCTTGACCAAATCATGATGCATGCAACTGTAAAATCGATCACCTCGATAACCCGAAGCTCCTAGAATGTCTTCAGCTTCCCTTTGTTGACAATGCTAGGTTCGTAGGTCTCACCTTCGATAATTCCTGATAGGACGCAATCACATCCGTAATTGTAGGCCAGAAGCGATTCTCTCAACTTCATGCGGAGCAGACCGGCTTTGTCTTCTCCAGTTGCACAGAATAATTCACTCGGTATGGGTCTGAGGCAGCAATGTTTATGTATTTCCTTCCTTATCAACCCTTCGTTCATTAACACTATCTGCGAAACCAGTGGTTCATAATGCACCAGTAGCATAGAGTTCCTCACGGCAGACAGGCAAACCGTCTATGAATAGAAAACGCAATATTCTGCCTGCAGCTTATGGAGGGAAATATACAGCCTTCCAGATCATTGAACCAGACCATTGATCAGGTTATCCTCTACTCGAACGACTGATTTTTGCATATTCTGCAGCTATCACCAGATATGATTTTTTCAGAAATTGCTGTCAACTCTCTTCCCATGTGAAACCCTTCTGCAAACCTATTCCTCCCTGGAAACTCCTTTACCCCACTCTAGACTAAAAATTATGAAACCTCACCCCACTCCTCCCGTACAAGCATGAATGAATTAAAAAACAGTAAATTGTGAAATGTTATAATTTGCCTTAAACTTACTATTTATAAGTTTTCTTTAAGAGATTGTAATGTGTAAATATGATCGTTCCAATTGTTTTTGCTGATATTGCAATAATTATAGTTGTACGTTGTCTTGAGCAGGCATTTATTATTGGTCGTAATCTCCAAATCACTAAAAGTGAAAAGGCCAGCCAAAGAAACAGGTGCATTTTTCTTTAAGACAAACCCGCGTCCGTCCGTCACGCACGGTTAGATTCGTTTCAGGTCCACCAATCGAGACAAACGAGGTGTTATTCACCGTGCCTCGGTCTCCTGATTAACTGACACTCCTTCCGGATCCTATGAGAACATTCAAACAAGACTATTCCACTCCACAACTAATAGCGTTTAACTACACATTCAAAATGCACCAATCAGGGCGGTGAATGTAAAAAGGCTTATCGCTTTTTCTATCCGATTTTTCTCACCGCTTCTACCTACTGGCCAATCATAAACTGTGACTAGTCTACCTTAGGAGGCTGTATACATCGATCGCTATGACGATGTCCAATAAACAGCGCATATACTATAACACCTCTAATGTTAACATACGCTTTCAGTTATTTTCAATGTTTAGCGCATTTTGGAACATTGTTGATCATAATTTCACTCGTGGAATAGTCCTATTATATACAACCCGTGCTTTGTAAATTCTCAGATAAATCCCTTCTCGCTTCGCGAGTCGGGAATTTCCAAAGTAATTGTGGTATTACCTATGAAAAGATTTTACCGTGTAGTTTGGACCAAATTAAAAAGAAAATGACAACTGTCATTATTTTTCGTAAGAACGAAAAAGCACGGCAACGTTGCATGACGTACCACTAGGCGGGAATTTCAAATATTCAGAAACCGAGTAGGCTGGCTTGAGGGCATTGCTTTGTGAGCTGACATGTGTAAACGGGGTAATTTAAGATAAATTATTATAAAATGTTTTATGGTGTACGTGGATGATCCTCCATTGCCTTCTGGGCATTTACACTAACCTCATGTATAGCCTAATGCAGAATTTTCATTTCACGTTCTGCACATTAATTAAACACCCACTTCTTACTTTCCATTAACTTAATTAGTCATCCCGTTGAAGAATGCGCAACCAGATTTAAAAATAGTAATCAAACCTAGCAGACTTTTCACACCAAATTTTTCTATATTGCATTTCATAAAATGATAATTTTTGGTATATTGGGCAAGCAAACAATTTTATTTAAAAAGCAAATATCCAGTGAACAATGTACCAGACAACATAGACTTTTCCACAAAATACCTAGATCTTAAAATAAGCAACATGCAAGAAAACTTCCAAATTTGCCTTCCCTACGCAA